ATTTGCTGAAATCCGAGACTCGGTGCACTCCAACCAACTGGCGTGCTGCAACTGTATGGACCCCACTTCGTGAAATGTTGGCACAGAGGGCTCTTGTTGATTTGCTGGCCCGCCTTCACTTAGGGCGGGCACGAGGCTTGCTGGGCCCTTAGCCTAGAACATGTACATCATGGCAAGGCCCCTACTTGAGGGCTCAATCCTCACATTCCATTCCCCTTAGCTTCGAAAGTCCGCTGAGATGCTTACTTCGCAGGTGCCTTCCCTTTCAGCAGTCTCTCGTAGTCTGCCACCTGAGGTGCTGTCTGTAGCAGCTCCTCTCCAGTGTATCAACGATCTTCTTTAGGATCAGTACGATGCCTGAATCTGACCCAGTATGGTCATCTGGGTTTTGGATGTCTCCCTCTGCCCAGATGTCTTGGAACAGGCATGTCTCTATGCTCTGGATTGCCGTCGACGTCCACGTGGCCATCCATGGTTGGGGGTAGCATCGATCTCCTTGAAGGGAATTGATCAGTCTCAGGGAAAGGTGCAAGCTTTGAGGTATAAAAAACTGGGTAGTGCGCAGGTGATCAGGGATACGGATAACGTAGGGTGGATCATCCTAATCATTCCCCGCCACATCCTAGACTTCCCGTGATGGATCAACTAACCTTTTATTCCCTGCCTTATCCAGAAAGCATAATCCATCCGGAGATGGTCTTTCCAGTAGGCTTCCACCATCGATTGAGTTAGCTCGTGACATATGCCAAATTCAGAAGCTAGTGCCCAACATGTCAGCGCTTCAGCAACTTGTTATTCTCCCCCTTCAATTGTTTGAGGGCATTGGAGAGAACAGGTTGAGTCTTTAGTCCAGATCAGTCGTTGAGTAGAAGAATCTACCCAACAGTTAGTGTTTCTAGTGGATTAGAACCTTGTATAGGGCATAGAGTTCCCTCTCTTAAGTGGACTTAGCCAACTTCTTAAATCACATCTTGTTGCTCATACTCAATCGGCCTCAACTTCTTCCCTGCCTGCTGGGCCAGCACTGTGCCAATCCCATTATGGTTAGCGTTAGTGGTTACTATAAATGGCCTCTGAGGATCGGGAATCATGAGAAACTCGTGATTCATGAGTGCATGCTTCAATCGTTTGAAAGCAGCTTCACACTCATCACTCCAGTCCCATGAGGTGTCAAGTCGAGTATGATCTATCAAAGGAGAGACGACTGTAGAATAGTTCTTTACGAAACTCCTATAGTAGCCGCTCATTCCTAARAAAGATCYAACCTCAGTCACCGTCTGAGRAYRTGSCCAGTCCCTAATACTTAGCCACTTAGAGGCTCTGCGTTCTTCACTWKKATRGCTTTGAGGCCTCTATAATCAAAGCACATCCTCAAACTTCCTCCCTCCTTCGTTACAGACAACACTGGGGATCCGAAGGGAGAAGTACTAGGTCGTATACATCCCTTTTTCTGTCAGCTCCTTCAGTTGTCGATAGAGTTCGTCCCTCTCGGCCAAGGCCATCATATAGATTCTTCCCTTTTGGGGGTTTTACTCCCTGGAATTATTTCTAGGGTGTGGACTATCTCCCTTTCAACGGCTCCTGTGGGCTTCTTGAACAGAACAAGGAACTTAGCGACGATACAAAATAGGTACATGCCTTCCTCTTGGTTTTGTATTATAGAACGTTGTTGTTCATAAGCACGCATAGGACTCAAACAACCTACTAGCCTTTCACTTAGCTAGTCCAATGGTTCTCCTATCAGGCGGCTCATGCTTCAGCACTTTCTTGTCCCAGTCCAACTGGGGCTTGGCAGCCTCAAGGTAGTACATTCCTAAGAGCAATTCGTCACTAATTTGGAACAAAATCCTATGATTAAGTTCCCCTCCTCCAAAAGAGAAGGTCTAGACTACGTCCTAGACATAGTCTTTCAGTCACTACAAAGCGCTCGTCGTTGGCCAAATGAGATGCTACCAGTCTACTATGGTGTTGTACCTGGTCCTGTGGCGCAGCCTTTCCATACAGTCAGAGCTTATGTAGTTCCGTGTGGAGCCAATGTCAATGAAGGCTCCACATTTGCAGCCTCTTACACCAACTTCCACACACTTCCAGGACCACCACTTTGTGCCACCCAGGATTCTCTAGGGTCCCTATCTGACCACTCACTCTGCGAATCCTCTAAGGCCTCATACACATCTAATGTACAAAGCACATTTTGGTCTAGATGAGCCTGCGGGATGACTAAAGAGTCATTAGCCTTGGCCAACTCATGAAGTGAGGAGGGTATTCCCACTTCACCATGAGTAGAAGCAACTAAAACTTCCACCAGCCTCTTGTGTTTCCCGGGCTAGAAGCCTGGGGAGAAGGCACCCCTCCCTTAGGGGTATCTTTTGCGTGACCTTCGCATTCTTGCATTTATGCTGGGTGTGCTCATTTTCACCTAGTTAATGCAAGCTCGATGCGAACGGCGGTCCCGCTACACTAATCTAAGCCTGCCTTAACCCAATCATCCACTTTGGACTAATTGGAGGCGGCCTGCCCTTGACTCTTTTGATGGCCCTTCACTCGGCCATCCGCCTTAGCCTTTTTTTAATACCGCGGTAAGGTGCTACCCTCAGCATAGTCCTTACCACATCCTTAGGTGTGTCCATCAGGTCAGAAAGGTCATTGACTTCATCATTTGTCTACCCTTCTTCTTCCACTCTTGTGGACTCTGCTTTCTTCTTCCGTCTACTGAAGAATGATATGCCAACTGTGTTCTCAGTCTCTCAGGGAGAATTAGCGAATGCCTAGGACAACAATGAGATTCTCAACAGTAGTTGCAAACTCCCTGACTAGTGCCAACGAGCTTCTACCCTGTCGATGAACTCTTCTAAAGATAGGGTCTCACCCCTAACTCCTATGCGTCCTCCATATCCGGCTTTCGCTATGAACACACTTAAGCCAGTATCACTTCCTCTTCCGGCAAGGTTCTCTTTGCCCTCACCCACATCGGAAACGATCTCATCCTGAGATTGAGATCCTCCTCCTTCTTTTCACTTGTGTCAGGAAAGGGAGCCCTCTTCAGGGTCTTTGAGAACAAGGAACTTGTTGTTGTTCCTGTGGTGGAACAGGTTGTTGTGGCGGTGATTGAGTAGCTGTCACCGCCTGACTAGAAGAAGAAGAGGCTACAGTCTGTGCTGGTGTTGCTGACGAACCGCTTGGTTGTGTGCCAGCTTGGGGATAGATGCCTAGAACTGCCATCTTAGGGAGTGGCGATTTATAGATTGCGTGCAGCCTAAAGCTTTAGCTGTTGCAACTGAGTCAATGTCTAATCCAAGGTGTCTTGCATGAAGTCCACTTTGCTGACTACGCGTGCGTGTAGTGAGAGCAAGCTAGACTTCAACACCTTCATTGGGTCAAATAACGCTGCCTCATCCGTTGCCTCTAACACAGTTCTCTCGGCCTCTACTCTCTCCAACCTGACTATCCTAACTCTCTTTCTCTCTGTGGCTTCCTGAAGTTCCCTCTCTAGCCGTGCAAGGATCCTTTCGCTTTGTTGGAGTTCCCTCAACTCCTGCTGGCGTGGGGTCAACGGGCGTAACTGCAAGCCCGTCATTTGACTGGTGGAGACATAAAAAACTACAGTACTATAGATGCCCGAGGACCAGGTGAGCATTCCCAACTGTCCCTGACGAGGTCCCAGACAAATGGCAGCATTGGATGCTGCTGCGGTAGCCATTGCAGCTGTGGCGGCCTGTCTAGGTGCTACATTAGCTGTTGCTACTAGTTGTGCAACTCCCTTTGCTGTTCTCTCCACTGCTGCTCGTGCAAGAGCTCTTTCTCCGGCCCTAAGTCGTCGTTTGACTTCGATATATAGAATCTAGAACACGAACGAAACTCTCTTTAGTTCCGACCGTGCGTCTCCCATAGTCAACTCTACCCTCATCGCTGTCTGACCCATTCAACAGCTAGGCAAACATTATATGCACTACAACTCCCTAGTGGAGTCCTACCACAGCATGTGTCTGACCGGCACCTAATTTTCTAAAAATAATGTGTCCGGCAGGTATCTTCACCACGGTCAAGCGATCGTCAAACAATATTCACATAGACTGTACACATAATCTAATCCTAACATTGATTAGTTCACTTACAGCAGCATTAGATAGGACTGGCTATGATAGTATACAACAGTCCAACTCTAATCTGTCTGTGAGGTGTTAGCAGCTGTCAACCAACTAGTCAATAATTAAAACAAGACTATGTTGCAGATGTATGATCAATGGGTATGGTTGTGTATTCAGTTGAGCACCAATTGGAACCTACCCTCCCCTCCATCCAACATACCGAACAGCATCATTGAGCCCACCCTGTGCCCAAGTCAAAGCCGAGCAAGCCAACCAGTCCACTCTTATTTACCCTCGTACGGAAACGAGCCTTACTGTCCATGTGATCTGGCTGATCAGGAGGAATTTATAGAGTGCCCCCATCTCTTCAGGAATTCTTTAACGCCGCAGTCAGGACGACGATCACAGCCAGATTCACAATGAACTCCCAACCAGAAATGTTTATAGACGGTCTGGTAAGCGTCTCTAAAAGGTTGGCACACCCGGCAAGACTTCTA